GCGGCAGCGCCCGTAAAAAGCCTGCAGCGCCGACGCACTGGACACTGTCGGGCATGAAGGTCAATTTGCGTTTTGTTGTGGCAGGTTAACTGGTTTGGTTTGACTGTGCGCTCCTGTGTCGATTCGCTAGCAATTATCGGTTGGTTTGGTGTTGCCAGCCATGTCGAATTGTGTGGCGAATTTTGGTTGGTAGGAAAGGAAATTCGCGGAAAATTGTTGTGCATTTGGCATGAGAAAATTTCTCCTCTTCCAATTTGTCTCAACCAGAAAGTAAGCCGCTTTTATGGTTAGAAATTTGGAAATGCTTGCGGGTATTCGAGAGAAATTAGTATTTTGAAGGATATTTCGTTGGAAATTTTTAATATGATATGGGAGTAGTAGCGGTTTAAGCGCGCTACTGTAGCTGATTGCTTTGAAGGCGTGACTGACACTCGAGCAGATAGATTGAAATTAGTCACGAATGGCAACCAGATTTATTAGTCGAAAGTACTCGAACTGTTCTCGTATAGTGAGTTGGAACTGATTTATTGAGGAGTTGAGCACAAAGTTAATTGAGGACGAAGCTAGTTGAGGATGAAGCCAGTTGAGGACGAAACCAGTTGAGGATGAAGCAGTTGAAGACGAAACCAGCTGAGGACCAAATCAGGAAGAAGTCTGTTGAAGATGAAGCCAGCTGAGCAGGAAGCCAGTTGAAGACATAGCAAGTTGAGGCTGAATCCAGTTGCAGACGAAACCAGTTGAGGACGAAGCAGGTGGAGGACGAAGTCAGTTGAGACTTCATTCATTTTCTGAAAGAATATGCGGGAACAACAAAGGAGGACGGACGAAGCCAGTTGAGGACGAAACCAGTTGAGGATGAAACCAGTTGAGGATGAATCCAGTAGAGGACGGCGACAGTTGAGGATGAAGCAGTTGAAGATGACACAAGCTGAGGACCAAATCAGTTGAGGAGGAAGTCTGTTGAAGATGAAGCCAGCTGAGWAGGAAGCCAGTTGAAGACATAGCAAGTTGAGGCTGAATCCAGTTGCAGACGAAACCAGTTGAGGACGAAGCAGGTGGAGGACGAAGTCAGTTGAGACTTCATTCATTTTCTGAAAGAATACGCTGGAGCAATCGCGTATGATCCTATAGTAGATGTTTCAAGGAGCTGTACATACCTCTCTGGATGTCTAATACTGAATAGGGAACCAACATCATTCAATCTGCCTTCTCCAGGAATTTGCTTCACTGATTCTTAGGAAGTCAATATTTTTTCGGAAACTAAAATTTTCCGACACATAAAATGTAATCTAACCTAAACAAATGACGTCCTAACCTCAAAAATAGCTGCATTAGTACTTGAGAACTCTCACAAATTCCCCTTGAAGAATGCTCAATAAAAAGTATCTTCTATTGTAACTAAAACTTCTGGCAACCTTCCAGGGACACCTCAAATACTTGACATGAAATATATTGCATACTTTGGCTGATATGAAAATGAGCACTTAAATTAAATGCTCAACCAGTTACGTAAAAACAAAAACATGTGCCGACACTTACGAACCAACTGAGCCGAACAGGTGAAGTTAACAGCTACTTTTTTTTGTTTTTCCATCTGCTTAGGGCAAGTGCATAATATTTGATAACCAACAGCTCGTTGGGAGAGAAAAACAATTTTGAGACCCGCAAGCGCGTCCGACTAACCGATAAATGCTGTAAGAGTGCGCGTATGTGTGGCTGTGTGTGAGTGCAAACCATTTAAGCGACTTATCACATGCTGATGCCTTGTTTTAGATAAACTGAAATTTTCGTGGAAAATATTTGTTCCACTAAGAAATGCAACAACAAACACAATGTGTGTATATGTTTGGCTTTTAGGGTCTCCCACTTACGTATGTGTGTGTGTGTGTGTATGTGTATTCTTAAAGGGCCGTTGATGTCTTCGCAAAAGTATGCACTTTCAAATATTAGCGGATGACCGTAACAAATGCACTCTGTTATGGTAACTGAGAAATGGTTGAAAAGTCAGCGCAGCAGCAGCAGCAGAAAGGCTGGCTGTGACGAATCTTAGAGATGCGGAAAATTGTTTGAGTTTTAATTTTTGGCGAAAAGTCAACATGCATTTAAATATGTTTTGTATATATTTCCAATCTACTTTGACAGATACATATACATGCATACGTTTATTATGGTGGTATATGTGTATGTGAGGAGGCTTCGTGTCCAAGAACGCATAATTTTCTGCGAAAAAAACCGTTTCGGCCTGTGAAATTTATAAATAAACATTTTCATAAAATAATTACACTTTTCTAGTTCTTGAGCGCTCAAAATTATAAACTGCCCACTGACCCAAAAGATATCGAAAATATTTATAGAATTCAAGTTGTCGCTCGTTTATCTCGATTTTCGGCAAACCCACGAGTCCTATAGAAAAATGTTGTATGAGAGAATTGTAGATAATGAAAAGATCTATAGCCCTTGTATTCACACTCTTTTTACATAACCTCAAAATGTATGTGAAAAATCGTCTTTCAGCTGGTTGGGTCAACATAATATTCAAAAAACCTCAGTTTTGGAGACATTGAACTGAAATTTTGTACACATTCTTTTCTCATCAAAATGCTGCTCATTTGGCGAAACCGCTGATATTGGGCAACTGCAGCACTTGGTTGCCATATAAACTGAACGATCGGAATAAAAGGCTTGTATGGGAAACTTTTTCATTTGTCAATGTATCTTCACGAAATTTGGCACGAGTTATTTTTTGAGACAATAGTGCAATCTTCGAGGAAATTTTTCAAATCGGATCACTATAGCATATAGCTGCCATACAAAATGAGTGATCGGAATAAAAGGCTTGTATGGGAAACTTTTTCATTTGAGAAGATATCTTAACAAAATTTTATATGTGCTATTGACCAAGATAACGGTATAATCTCCGAACGAATTATGTAGATCGGACTACTATAGCAGATAGCTGTCATACAAGCTGAACGTACGATATTATGTTATTGTATGGACAACTTTTTTATTTGACGAGATATTTCCTTGAAATTTGGCAGGAGTTAAAGCTTAAAGCAATAAGTTAATCTCCGAAGAAATTGTTCAAATCGGTTCACTTTAGCACACAGCTGTCATACAAATTGCACGCTCGGAAGCAAGCGCTTGTATAAAAACTGTTTCATTTTAAGAGCTATCTTTATAAAATTTGCCATGGGTTATTTCCTTAGACAATACTACAATCCACGAAAAAATTGTGCAAATCGAGTTACTATAGCTTATAGTTGTCAGGCAAGCTGAGCGATCAAACTCCAGTCTTAGTGTGGAATATTTTGTATATGTGAAGAGTATTGTAGCTTTGATGCTACTGACTTCAGCCTTTTTTTTTACAGATTTTTAAAATTTCAATATTTTTTTTTGGTTTTTGTTAAAATATATTTTTAAAGATTTTTTAAAATTTTTCCAGCCGAAAAAATTTTTACCCAAATAATACCTTCCATTAAAATAAAAGATTTGTCATTTCGTTTCATATTTAGATTTTTTATTTTCAATACTATAAAATGGCTTATATTTAAATATTTACAAACATATTTTTTAATTATATTTTTAAATTATTACAGCCTAGTTTTTAGTTTACAAAGTTAAGGAGCGCTTAACTGTCATTTGCTTTATTATTATAATTTTTTTTCTTTACAAAAAATGCCGCTTACTAAAGTAATCAGTCAGTCAACATTCGTTTCGGAAGATGCTCGCTTTTTTCAACGGAATTGTATGCTTTACATATACACACATATAATTCGATTTATTTTAAGTAAGCCCAAGGCTGAGTACGCATGCGTGACAGAGGCTAGAGTAACAATTTTCAAACGGCGCTGCGCACTAAGCCTCAGACATGCAAAGCTTTATTGTCTTATATAACATCATTTTATTGCATCTAACTGTGCGCTGCTTACATTTCTACCTCACAGTCTGTTGGTTGTTGTATTTACTGTTGTGTTTCATTATTTATTATATAATATGGCATGCAGCGTTGGCTTTTCCAGTACGAAGCACACCATCTCCACATATACAAAAATTTATATAAAATACATGTATACTGGTATGTATGTATGTGTCTATGTATTTTGCTTTGCAGGAAAAGCCTTCGCCGCTTAAGTACGCCTAGAAATTTGTATTGCGTTCGAAGAAGGAAGGAGTTGAAGTGACGGTAGTATATCTTAGTAATATCAGAAAACCGTAACTTTTTGTTTTTTTCTTGTGATTTGCTTACAATTTCATAACAACTGTGACTAAATAATATTTACAATTTAACAGTACATAGTTCTGGCGCAAATGCAACACTGTGTTTTTCAGTTTGGCCACACCCCTAAACAGTTTTAGCCGAAGGCGGACGGTTTTACATGCTCAATGCTCGACTACTTCGAATATTTACAGTAGTGCTAATGACTTTTGGTTGCAAAATTTTCGTTTTATTTCTTCAAAACTAATTTTACCGATATTTTTTAAAGTTCTGCGTATATTTTTTGCTTTTAAATATTTTTTTTAAATTAAATTAAATTAAAATGTAGGACGTAGTATGCTGGTTGGCTTAAGAGCTAAGCGGCTTTTCAGCAATGCTTTCTTATATAACTAATAGTAGACGCTGTTTCCTCTTCTATTTTTTGTATTTTACAATTTAAATATGTCTATACAATATTTTTTTAATTCTTTACATACATATCACAATGTTTTTGTTGCTATATACTAGACTTATGTAATAAAATATTTAAATTTATTTAACAATAAAAGTTCAATTTTAAATTATTTAGTACAATAAATGCAGTGATTTTGCTGTTGATGAGGTGAGTGCGGTGTGTGCAGGGGTAATAATGCTGTTTTACATAAAAATATGGAATGCATTGTGTTTAATTGGATTTATTTTTTGGTGAAAGGATACAAATTATTTGAAAAAGTAAAAAAAAAAAAAATTATTCAGTACTTAAATCGTGTCTTAGACTTAAACTGGCGAACTTTCATTATTATTTTTTTTTTGTGCGACGTTTTTGCTAACAGACAGCGGGCTGTAATACTAACTTTTGTAGTCAAGTGCTTTTACAAAGTGCATGAAAGCTTTTAGGAGTTTTTCGCAGTTTTCTAGAGCTTTCACTGAAATTTAAGGAAGATTTAATAATTTTTTTTCAGTGGTTTGTTGCTTTCACACAATTTTGGAAAAGATGTTTACAGTACTCTAGAGCTTTCACTGAAATTTTGCGAGCTTTCATTAAATTTTCGCCTTATTTTGGAGCTTTCACACAAATTTAGAAAATCGAAAGCTTTTAAAGCTTAATAAAAAATAACAGTTAAACAACGCTAATAAATATTTCTCTTTAATTCTTTAAATATTGCTGACCTCAATATTTCTATGTTCTTCTCACTTTGCTGCACATTATCCCCCAAATTTTCAGCTGCAGTTACTTTTCTCTGTCGACTACCAAAACCAAACCGACTATTCGGACCTTAAGCCGCAAAAATACAACAACGAATGAAATTTTTTAAAAATCATGCAGTGGCCAGTCATCATCCGATGGACACAGTCCGTCAAAAAGTCAGCCGCGTTAGGGAGCCAATACCGATCTACGTCAGTCACATTTGTTTTGCTCGCTAGCCGTAATCAACGTATCGATCGGACGCTCTGGCGCGCTCAGCGTTTGACTTCTTGTCGTTGCGTCGTACCCTGTAGAGTTGTTGATAACTGTTTTGCTCTGTTTTTCCTTCACTAAACATACACGCATACAGCATTTTTATTACTGCTTGTCTGTCTTTTTGTGTCTTCCCCTATTTGTTGCCAGTTCAGCCGCCTGTGGCATCTACTTTCGCCTTCTGCACAGTCTTTTGTTCGTTTGCTTCGCTCTTTGCTTCCAACACTTTTTGCCTACCTCATCTCAGGTCGATCGTCAAATAGCACACTATGGTGCGGCATCAAGTGTTGTGGCTGAAGCAACGATCTTGCTGCATGTCGCCGTCGATCGACCAAGTGCATGTCTGGCGATCCACTTGGCCGCCTCTTTTTCTACCTAAGCAACGCTGCGTCGCTTTTGGGCCGACATACGTTTGCAGCTGGCTGTCTGTTGGTCTGTCTACCGTGTAAGGCTAACTGGCGATCAGACGTGTGAGTTTGTTTATTTGACGAACTGTAGCTCTCTCTTTCATTCGCTCTAGCTCTCTACTTCTCTCCCTCTCTCTTGTGCTCTCGAATACTTTATCGATCGCTTAACCTGTCTGCCTTTTCAGCGCTGTTTCGTAGTTGTTTTGTTTGTGTCTGTTTTGTTACTGTTTATGTTGTTGTTACTTTATTATACCACTTTCTGTAACCGGCCACAGTCGTCTGCACGCTTTTTATGTAGCAAACTTTGTGTTCGCGTCCACTTAATTTCTTGCACTGGCTTTTGCTCTTATTTCGCTTATTACTTTTAGCCGCAATTTTGCATTGAACTTTTCTGTGCGCTGCCTAGTTGTTGTTGCTGTTGCTGTTTTTTTGCAATATTTTTATTCGGCGCCTTTTTATGATTGTTGCATGCAACATCAATTTTCTGTAGCGCTTTGGCGCACAGGAAACTCATAATGGCCAGTGAGTAGGAAAAACAACTTGATATAAAACAACAACAACAGCAATACCAAAAGCATGCTGCTTTGCAATGTAAAACGTGCATAAACAACAACAACAACAACATGCCACTAACAACTACTATACATAACATTGGCAGGCGCAGAGTTGTGCGCGGCAACTAGTTTGTGGCAACATTGCCATGGCCAACATAATATTAATGCGGTTAGCTTGTCTCATGCGACTTGTTGTTGCTGTTTGGCAAAATATAAGCACAGTTTTGTATGTGTTTCGCTTGTACGTTTCGGTCTTTGTAAATTTTTTCTTTTTTTCTCGATTTTTTTTTTTTACTTTTTGGCTGCTTTTGTAAGCATTTTTGCACTTTTGCCACACTGCTTTCAATGCAACGTACAACTGTTGCGTTTGTTGGTTAAAGTATAATGTTCGAAATGCAAGCTAACAAGCCGTTGTAAAATATTTGTTGCGCTCAAGCAAAAAGGCAGCCGTTTTATATGCCTTTTTTAATTAGGCAGCGAAGTTCAATATGCCTGTTAACGAAATTAACGCAAATGTGGCAAGAAAAAATTTACAAAAATTTCACACAAAAATTACAAGAAATGAAAAATCAGAAAATTTAATTTTAGTTAAAAATTTACAACAAGTTAATGAAAAAGTTCGTGCAACAAAAATCAAACAACTGTACGCACTAGCCACGGCAATTAATTGCAAAAATTCTAAGCACTCGTTAAAAAACAACTTCATTTTAGTATAAAAAATGCCGTTCGAATTCAACGCGCTGCTTTAGCTGCTGTGCGCCGGTCACGCAGCCAGCCAGGCAGACAACAGGCGACAACTTTAACGTGACTAACTGCTTTCATTGCAACATAATGCGCTAAAAAACCGCACAACAACAACAAAAACTGACAAACAGCGCTGCACACATACACTCACACAATGGCACAAAGCATGCCAAAGCAATATGTGCCAATAGGCATGTTGCACGAAGTAAATGTTCAATGCCAAATCGAATTTCGTCTACTGACGCGCCGTGCTGTTGTTTTTGCTTTTTTGTTTTTAATTTAATAGCAAATACTTTCGAGCAATAGTTTTTCAACATGTAATTGTATGTATTTTTGTGCTTCGTGCCAGTGTTGCATGCAGCGCGGCGTTGTTTTTCTATTTACTGCCGAAAATACTGCCTTTGAACGCACACACACACACAGCTGGTGAGTTTTGTTCCGGCGATTTGTTTGACCTGAATTCGGAAAATGCCTACAATTCGCTGCTGAATGGAAATTTCAAAATGTGAAAGGCGAAAATGCAGACAGCAATGAAGTTGCACGTGCCTGTAGATGAGAGCAGTGGCATATTAGTGAATGTTGTGCGCAAGTGAGCGCGTTAGTAATATGTAAATAGCCGATCGCCATCTGAGATCTGCCGTTTTGCTGCTGATGTTGAAGCACAACACAAAGAACGCTGACCCAGAAACATAGCTCGCAGTGTAGTAACTGTTGTACGAAAAGTTCTTTGAACTAAGCTCAATGAAACGCAGTTGAAAAGTTGATGAACGCAAGGGATCTTTAGTTTCGAAAAGCTTGCCGCACCATTGGCAGACTACAGCCGCGTAAAGAACCATAGAAGCATTCAGCGCGCACATTTTCGCGTCAATATTACTACACACAACACCTCACCCGCTAAGCCAACAGCTGTTTATAAACACATACGCACACCCGCTTTCACTTATACAATAGAAACTACTGCTACCGCTGTTGGCTCTTAGATATGCACGCCCATTGTGCGGCCGGAACTCTGCGAGCTACCACCCGCCGCTGAAGACTGCGTCGTGATGCTGCGCGGACTGGGGCATGGCGGTGGCGGCAACTGCTGCTGTTGTATGCTGCTAGGTGGCGCGCCTGCGCTAGCTGCTGTCGGCAGCAGCTGTTGTGACTGTTGTGGCGGCAGCGGCAGTTGTGCGCATTGCACCGGCGCACCCATTAACATGGCGGCCTGCTGGTGTTGTTGCTGTTGCGCTGCAGCCGCCGCGGCGGCCGAATTGTTTCGATTGTGATTCTGTCGACTGCCGTTGATGTTGTGATGCATTTGCGAGCGGAAGCTGGCATGTTGCAGCTGATGATGTTGCAGCGCGGCCTGCGGATGCATGTGGTGCATGTGATGAGCGCCGGTTGACATATTGCCGACAGCGCCACCACTACTGGCGCCCGCTGACAGCATGTGATGGGCATGGTGATGATGTGTGGCTGGCAGCTGAGCGATGGGCATGTGCACGCCTACACCGGTGCAGCCGCCCACGCCAGCGTTGCGCATGCGGCGCTGATTGTTCGGCACGTCGGGTAAGGCGAAGCGCAGCTTCTCCCAAAACAGTTTGTCGCCCCATTGCAGGTATGTGTTGGTTTTCAAGTAGAGACGCAGCTCGGGGTCAATATCCTTTTGCGGCACCTCGCCTAGCACGATCAGTATGAGTCGGCGTCGACGGTCGCGTAGCACTGATTGATGCGCCGATTTGAATTCGAAGCGGCACCATTCGGATTTGATGAAGTTCTCGGAGAGCACCATAATGGTGCGTCTTGAGGTATCAATAGCTTGCACGATGGCATCAGCCATGTAACCACCAACTGGAAAATCGCGATGATGTAGACAAAGCTTGTAGCGCGTGTCACCCTGTTCGAGCATAGGCGCTAGATCTTCGCAAACGAAAGCTTCATCCTTCGAGCTGTACGAGATGAAGGCATCGAAGAGTTTCTCACGTTCATTTTTGTCAACGTCGCGATGCGCATTGCAGAAGAGACGTATGCCGAAGCGTGAGTGACACCAGACGCGCATCTCCTGACGGAAGATGAACACGAGCAGCGTGCAGATGATCACGAAAACGAAGCTGGTCAATACGGCTACCAGTATCGGCACATATTCATGCATCGGCGGCTGTGAGAGTATCATTTTCGTCGAGGTCATGTTACCATTCATGATGACATTATCGTTGGGATCCGCCGCGCCCAAAGGCGACTGATGTTGTGGCGCTTGCAGACCACCATTGCAGGCGACGAAGCGCGTTTGTGCGTCCAGCAATGGATCGCCACTCAAGTAGATGGCATATTGCTCAGCATCCGCTTGTTGGCCGCTCACCGCGCTGTTGTTATCAGCTGCTGTTGCATTATTGCCGGCGAGCAGTGAGCAACGCAGCTTCACCTTATCCTGCACAGATTCACGCCGATTGACGTAGTCACGTAACTTGTCGATGAACTCACAATTGCAGGACCACGGATTGCCCGCCAGCCGCAGCTCATTCAGATACGCGGGCAGGAAGTTCCAAACAGCGAACTCGGTGATGGCGTTATGATCGAGCCGCAGTATTTTCAGGTGATAGAGATGCGTGAAAGTCAGCGTATCAATGGTAGCGATGGCATTATGTTGCAGGTACAATTCCTGCAGATTGTCCAAACCCTGAAACTCATTACCATTCAGCTGACGCAAATTGTTGTGGTTCAGCTGCAGCACCTCGAGCTCGAGTAGCCCGTAAAATGTACGATTGTGCACAATTTCGATGCGCGAATGATTCAAGTGCAGCACCTTTAGACGCTTGCGTCCAATAAATGCGTGGCTGGAGAGTTCGCGGAAGTTATTGCCATCCAAATACAGTTGCGTGGCGTCCATGGGTATATGCGAAGGCAGCGTACGATCGTAGGCGGAACGCGAGCAGTCCACGACATTCGATGTCCACGACTGATCGTGATAGCAGGCACAACGATCCGGACACTCCATTTTGCAGTCGCACGCGTAGAAGTCACAGCAATGGCACAACGCAAAGCAGTGCGCCTCGTACTTGCAGAGGAACTCATTCGATTTAGCCTCGATTAGCGGCACGTGCGTCTTACCGCGCGCATACGACAACTTACAGTAGATCTGATCGAGATCCATGAGTTGCGGTTGCGTGCGTGATTCGCTGTTGACCTTCTGCAGCCAATCTAGATTGCAATCGCACTCGAACGGATTGTGGCCAATGTAAAATTCGGGTATGTCCTTGTCGTCGGGTATGGGCGATAGGCGCAAAGCGTTCGGCTCCAGCGTGGTAAGGCGATTCCGTATTAGGTCCACGCGCGTCAGATTGGGTTTCTTAAAGAATGTGTACGGCTGTATTTTGCTGATCAAATTATCGTTCAAGTATAAAACCTCCACGCTATTTGGTATCGAACTCGCTGTAATCTCGCTTAACATATTCGAGCTGGCATCGAATGTGCTGAGGCTAAGCTCATTTTCGATTTCGAAATAGTTGCCCAGCTGCGTGATGCGATTGGCACGCACATCCAGCCACTGCAAACCGGTCGGTATGTGCGAGTAGTCGAACTTCTCCAAGCGATTATCCGAAATGTTAAGCCACACCAAATTTGGCAACTCGGTGAATAAGCCATCGATGCTCTTCAAGTGATTGCCATCCAAACGTATGGCCTGCAGCTGTGTGTTGCGGTGCAGCGCGCCCCCCTCGATGCCTTTGATTTTATTGCCGGACAAATTCAGTATCTGCAGCGATGACATGCGATCGAAGACACCGCGTCGTATGAACTCAATGCTATTCTCCGTCAAGCGCAAGCCATACAAGTTGGCCATTGCCGAAACRCTGGTATTTTCAATGTTCTTAATTAGATTCTCGCCAATGTCGAGCGTCTTCAGCAGCGGCACAGCGCTCAACGCATCCGGTATGCTCTTCAGCTTATTGCCATTCAAATGCAAATCCTGTATGCTGGAGCAATTGCGCAATGCTTGCGTGTCTATTTTCGTGATGGCATTGTAGTCGAGACTCAGCACGAGTATGCCGTAGAGGCCGCGCAATGTGTGCGGTCCCAGCATCGATATGCGGTTATTGGACAAGATGAGCGTATGCAAGTTGGCAAGATCGGCGAAGGCGCCGTCTGGTATGTGATCGATGTAGTTTTCCTCCAGTTTCAATATCTGCAACGAGCTGAGCGAACGAAAGATGCTGGCCTCCAGCTTGCTAATCTTATTCGCTGACAGATCGAGCAAAACCAGACGCTTCAAGCCCACGAATGTGGCCGCATTGACCCACTGCGAGTTCAACTCATTCGCTGATAAGTCCAGCACGAGCAAATCAGCCAGCTCGCTGAAGAGGCCAGGCGCCAACACATTAATACTGTTATTCTTCAAGTAGATCTCCTTGACATATTTCGCCTCGGCGAAGAGTTCTGGCGGCAGCGAGGTCAAACGATTACCGGACAAATTGACTATCGAGAGCGAGACYAAACCCTCGAAAGCGCGATCCGCGATAAAATTCATGCCGTTACGCGCTAAATTCAAATTACTAAGTCGCCCCAAACCGGAGAATATCGCCGATGGCAAATTGGCAATCTTATTGGCGCTCAAATCGATGTGCGTCAGCGAYGTGCCGCATATGCGTGACTTGCGTGAGCTCAACGCCGCGCTAAAGTGGAAATTGCCAATATCTTGTATTTCATTATGCGAGATATTGAGGTGTGTCAGCACCTTCAGCGGGCACACCATGCCATCCGGTATCAGCCAGATATTATTCAAGCTCAAATCCAAACGATCGAGCTGACGAAATTCGCTAAAACTGCTGCTCGCTATATCCAGCGACATGGTCGACCAGTCACCGTTATGCGTGCGTATGGTGAGATTGCGCAAATCCTGCAAGCCACGGAATGAACCCTCCGTTATATTGCCGAGTTTGCARTACTCGATGGTCAGCGCGCGCAGCTCGACCAACGAACGAAAGGAGTCCGGACTGAGGCTGCTCTGGAAGAAGAGCGCATCATTGCACTCCAGCCGTAGACGTATCGTATTCTGTGGTTGTATAACGCTGAAGTTGGTGTTCTCCAACTCCGAGTTGATGGTGCGCAGATGGCAGACGAGCGTAATGTCCGCTTCGCTGGTGCCGGACCAGCGACACTCGTCGGGCGCCTGATAGAGCACTGTTTTGCTAAGCGCCGCGCCGAGCACCGGTATGATGACGGTGATGAGCACGGAGAGTATGGTTTTCGAGATGAGTGTCATTTTGGTGGACATTGTGTTGTTGGAATTTTGTGTTGATTTTGGTTTTTTAATTGAATTTTGTTTGATTTCGTCGATAATTTGCGATTTTTTGGGTTGTGCGTCTTTGCTGCGGAAATTTCTTGCTTCAGCGCAGAAATACACACACACATTCAACAAATATTTTAACACACGCGCACACTTTACGAGCGTGTTGCTTATGTTTGTGACGTCAGAAACGTTATTTCTTTAATTTGCGCATTTTAGGCGTAACTTAGGCGTTTATTTTGTTGGAAGAATTTTTTTTTCTATTTTCGCACTAGTTTTGTGCCACTACACACTTTTGCACTCTGCGCTGCATTATTGTTGGTTTTTTAATTTTTTTATTTAAACTAAATTTTTTTTAAATTCTTTTGTTGCAAATAGTTTATTTTCTGTGCCGCGCAACCGGAAACCCGTAATCCAAGTATTGTCTGCGGCGTACGAAACGAACTGGTAAGCGTTTAATTAAATTCGTTGAGTTGGTCGAATTTCATTTTTTGCCTGCGTCAACCTTGTTTTTTTTTCTTAATACTTTGAGTAGAGCCTATAGCCAGCACTTTGCACTTCAATTTTATTAAAAGAAAAAAATTTATTCTTCGCATTTATGCCTGTGTCAACACTTAACTATATGTGAATATATACACCGTTGTATATACATACATATATAATTCTTATATATATTTTTCTTTTTAGATATTTTGAAAAACAGCCGACGTGCACAGCGAAGTTGTGCGATCGTCACGAACTCTACTCACAAACTGATTACTCAAAGTGCMTGCAGTCGATTAACTACTAAAAGTAAATGCCAAATAGCTGGTCGGAGTAGCTAGAGCGCGGCGGCGACCACACATATAAAATGCATTATTAACAAAGTGGAGTGCTGAGTGTGGCAGTGAGCGTGCCCTGGGCAGTCAGTAAGGTAAGTGAGTTTGTTTGAGTAAGAAATCAGGCGCTGCAGACTGTCTTGTAGCACTTGCAAGAGCAGCGCAAGAGAGCGCGTGCGAGTGCAGCGCTCACTTTGGTGGTTGATCTATGATTTTAGTTTTCCAATTTGCTGGGCATGCTCACATTAAATGGCATASCAACTTTGGCTTTGACTTTGAACGCATATCAGCGCGCTCAGAACCAGTTCGAGTTTGTTGTTTGCTCATCACTATTTGAGCGGCAGTCRCAAGTTAAACGTATTGTTGTTTTTATGCGGTTTATGCCGGCCGTCGTAACTATTCCATGTGCTCTTATGAGCGTAAATATATCGTTGGTTGTTGTCTGAAGCATCTCTAAGACGCGTTCTTCATACAACTGCACAAGATAACTCGCAGTTTGGTAGATAAACACCAGCCTGCTGGATGAGATAGCTGCTATTTGCAGTTGAGGCAGCTCAGTTAAACATTTTTATTATTTTTTAGTTGAAATATCGTTACTTCATATATTTGTATGATTTTTGGTAGAACTTCCAGCAAAAGCGACCTTTCGCTTCCAAAGTCACTGATGTAAAATTTATATTTTTCGAATTTTCACGCTTTGTTTTTCTATGGTTAACTTGTACCAATACCCATTCAGATTGTTAGCTATTGCTTCTCAAAATAATTGCACGTTGTGATGCAAGTAGTGTTGTCGACAAACCCCGATCGCTTTATACGAGGAGTTCTTTATTTTTTATGCCTCATATTCAGCCTAGATCTTCGAAAGATGCGGTTTCGATCAAGCCATCTTCGTTTTGTTCGGCTTTCTAAGAGATCACGGTTTTCATAATTTCTGACTGAGTTTACTTAAAAGCCAAAGCTATCGAGACAAAAAATATGAAGATTTTAAGGAATACTACATATATTTTCTCTTAGGCAACTAATCCTAACTGGATAATGAGATCGATCATACAGAAATTAAATGTCAGACCTATTGAGAGAAAAGATATGAACAGATTAGAATCTCTGTGAATCAAATTCTACCTCTGTGGCTGCATGATCTTGAAGTCCGTTCCCACGACAGGCGGGTCTACGTAAAGGGAATGGACCTGTATTTTTTTCGACCAAGAAATGTCAACTCGGCATAATTATGTCGCTACAGCAACAAGATGATCTTGAAGCCTTTTCCATTCCATTGACAGATATTTCAAAAACATGCATGATTTTACAACAAAAAAATTTATTTTGATATTTATGTAACTATGCGGCTGTCACTTGAGTCGTATCATCTACTTAAGATAAATATTATCTCTCTCAAATCGTCATTTCTTGAAAAATCCCAGCAATCCATCTAACGCCCAAGTAAATCAACTTTTATTATGAATTGATCGCAACGAATCTGCTTAATTGAATAAAATATAGAGCGCCCGCTCAATGCGCGCACGCAGCCCAAACTCAGCTCCACCAGCAATATGCAGCAACAATGTGAGCGCATTGAGCGCACCTTCTAAGCGCAACGGAAATGAGCGATCTTCATGCAGCCATGCATTAGATTTACTTACACATTAACAAAGAAACAAACTAAAAGCAAAATCTGAAGAAACACCATAAAACATGCCTTAACCAGCAGCGCCAACTGCAATAACAACATATACAACAACAATGATGTGCAGTGCAGTGCAATGCAGTCGACGGTGGAAGGCATTGACACAAGTCCTACCGGTTGGACGAGTTTTTTATGGGTTCAGATGACTGCTTTTTTCGCTCAGCAGTATAGCCAAGCGTGCGAGTGTGGTGAGCGGCGCTCAATGCTGCAGTAGCGTGATGTGGAGTGCACATAATTAGAGTACATAGTGTTGAATGAAAATTGTAGTGGATAGTTGGAGGGAGAGTAAGGTGCTGGATAGAAAGATAAATGAGCGGGAGAGTAAGAAAAATGAGTGTTTTGGCTAGCACTCTATTTTAATGTAGAGTTGATGCGATGTGGTTGTGGAGTGTCAGTAAGAATGATGAGCAATTTGAGCGTTAGATAATGAGATAATACTTGGTGTAACGATAGTTTTAGATATCTAACATTTATCTAGATAATTTAATATCATGAATGAGTGCCAATTTTGTTTAATTGAGTGGAAATATTTTCAGTTAGTCGTTTCGATATTGAGTGCTGGTTAATTTGAGTTATTTGCCTTTGCGATAATGACGAATAAGTGACAGATAAACATTCAAGCTCATTCATGATGAAATGCTAAGATGAAGCGATTATGCTCAAAAATTGCTCACTTATTGCAAAAAATTCTCAACTATTTCACTCAATTAGAATGTCAGATTGCTTGAGCACTCTGAGTTAGCGCTCTGATCATTGCGACATTTTGTAACATCACGGCACACATTTTTCTCCTGCAGACTGTGATTTTATTTTACGTTCACTGCTGTGATTAATATATTTGTATGAACTTCACTGAAGTATAAATGTATGTATTTATCTCGCAGTATTTCTCGGCACAGCTGTTTTTTGCCGTAAAATTCGTTCTAGAGTGCGCAACAATTTTTTTATTTGTTGAAAATTATTTGTTTACGATCAATTTTACGACTGTTTAATATTTCAGCTGTTTGTTATTCAAGTTGTTGAAGTGTTTGTTGTTCCGAATTTCAGTAATATCAAATCAATTGCTTCTAAGTTGTGTACTCTTCACAACCAAAAATAAATAATCAAAATATTTTTTTTTTTGTTTTTTGAAGAATTGTATATTTTGGTTTCTAAAAGCTTTCAAAAAAAAAAATCTAGTTTTACCTCTCTTTTTATTTATCTACCGGCAGTATATTTGATTGATGGTTAATTTGATGTTTTATTGCCATGAAGATTATATAGCATAGGGCCTCATAAATTTGGAAATTTTTTAAAAATATTTTGAAAATAAAAACAAACGTATGAAATACGTACATTTTTAAAATATATGATGTTTAATTTTAGAATCGTTTTAAGTGCTGCATACACTATTTCTGACTTGTGGCATGCAATGAAAACCTCAACGCTTGAAATAACACATTAGAAAAATATTGTCAACAGTTATTGTGATACATTTTTCCATTTCAAATTTTGAATAGATAAATTCTAAAAAATTTAAAATTAAAATTTTCAATAAAAAAATATTGAAAAAATTTCCACATTTAAATTTTCCAAAAAAAATATTCAAATTTAAGAAAAAAAACAGGTGTACAAAAAGATTTCAAATACAAAGTTTGAAAAAAAAAANGAAAAAAAAAATCAGAAACAAATTTTCAAATTCCAATTTTCATACAAAAAAATATTGAAAAAATTACCAAATTTAAATTTTCAAAAAAAAATTCAAATTTAAGAAAAAAAACAGGTGGACAAAAAGATTTCAAGTACAAATTTTGAAAAAAAAAAATTCAGAAAAAAATTTTCACATTCCAATTTTCATACAATTTGGAAAGTAATGTAACTGCATCAGTCTTTGAGAACTCTCGTTGAAACAGCACACATGAAGTTTACGTAAAATTTTCGACTGAACTCGTATACAAAGCAGCAATATCTTCTCAGCTCATCAGTGCTCTGCTGAACCGAAACTGCTGGCTTCATTGAGTTTTTCTGTACGAGTAGCTAACAAAGGCACCAAAATTTACGTAGATAAAAATTGAGCGTGATGCACACACATTATCTTTAAAACAAAAATATATTTCAAATTGAACTCTCTCGCTCTTTCATCTCACTCAATTTTCAATTATTAATTGAGTCCAAATTGAATTTTCGCAATATTCATCAGCCGTTGAGATAAATTTAGTGATTTCTAAGGCAATTTTAAAAATCAAATCTGCCTTTGGTTGACTTCTTCATATGCATTTACTTTTAGGGCCTTATTCCAAAATTCTTTATAAAAATTGTACTGATAAGAGTCTTGGTTAATTTAACAAGAAGAGGACACTTGTAGGGAAGTTTTGCTCATTTTCCTCGCCTTCAAAAAAATCCCCACCAGATATAATACGCTTATGCCAACGGCTTTTCCAGTCCTCGAAACACTTTTTGGGATAATCCTCAGCTCGCCATCTTCGGAATGGCAGTTTCAGTTTGGCGAACTTGAATAAATCACTCGTAGCCATAACCGGAAGAACGAGGTAGTTGACCGATGTTATTCTTTGTCCGTTTTCGACGACATGTCCAAAGAGACTCTCAAGACTCGATCTGATGTCATTTGAAAGTCATGAGGAGAGCTTACGGGTAGCTGACTGCCAAGGAAGCTCTAATATTAACTTTCCCCGAAAGTTAATTCAACGCTATTAGCGTCCGTAAAGGCATTCCCTCATACACCAGAAACCAGACAAACGAACAATGCATACTGGCTGGGTGGCATGCCACTGCAAAGGTGGTGGACCACTTGGCATTGAGTTTATGATGCCGGCAATAGAGAAAGCAAGCAATAAACAAAGCTTGTAGGCTCGTCCTGGTTGATCTCTGGTAAGTGTAGGTATGCTTACACAATTGAGGGAATGTATGACTACTACACACACCGCACAAATGATGCAACATTTGCTGCCAAACTACCAAAAATAACTGAATTTTTCATTAATCTCACTGCACTGCTGACTAAGCAGCGACTTTTAGTTGGGCGTCATCGTTTGTTGCGCGCATGAAAAATGACTTGTCTGGGTCAATGTCATATTCGTGGCATGTACTTTACGAATTGCTTATGGGAGGCACTTAGTGGTCAAATTTGAACAAAAGCAAGTTGGCTCTAGCGTTACGCGAAGCTTTAAGTTCGAATGCCTCTTCTTTTTGGCGCTTCACCGCTTAAGTATATTTCCTTAGCATTGAGTTCAAGCC